CTTTCCCTTTTTTCCCTTTTCTTCCTTACATGTCTAAAGCCTGCCCCAGGACTCAAGAGATGCCAAGTAGCCAGCTAGCGACCTCTAGAACCCAAGGGTGTACTGCCCTATGGTTCTAGGCTCCGGGGTTGGCCCAGAGGCATCTACACTGCATGATTGCTGCAGCTTCTGAATCATCCTGGTCCTGTGTGCCCTGAGGTCTCAGGGGTTGGCGCAGGTAAGTCACTGGGCTTCTAAAGCCTGCCCCAGGACTCAAGAGATGCCAAGTAGCCAGCTAGCGACCTCTAGAACCCAAGGGTGTACTGCCCTATGGTTCTAGGCTCCGGGGTTGGCCCAGAGGCATCTACACTGCATGATTGCTGCAGCTTCTGAATCATCCTGGTCCTGTGTGCCCTGAGGTCTCAGGGGTTGGCGCAGGTAAGTCACTGGGCTTAGAACGGATTTCTCCAACACGGTGAGTGAATGTTATGAGGATTTAGCAGTAGTGTTCTTCACTTGTCACTATTTCTCTATGTATTTGGGGTTACATTCTTGTTAGTCACAACATTTTCAAAAGCACTATTAAAAAATCACAAAAAGCAGCTGGCTCCTGTGGAAAGGTAAAGGTGTAAACTTACATACGCATAATACTGGCAAAAGCTAATTTCTGGGGGGTATAAATACACATGTGCTCTTAGAAATAAGGCTTTGTGTCAGACTTCAGACAGGCGGGGTGGAGTACAAGACCACCGAGTTGTAGTCGGGGGGAGGAGAGCAACACGAAATCTTCTTTTCCAGCTCTGAGTGGTCGTATGTAAATCTGCGCTTGCCCTTGTTGACGTGCCCACAGCTGGGGTGGCAGAAAGCAGGCCTGGTGATGTCAGAAAGCCCCGACTCCTTACTTTTACTGGTTACTCTCAAGCTAGAAAAGAGAAGAAGGAAAAAAAAAAAAATCAAATTTCAAAATTGGCTTCTCAAAAACAAACATTGAAATCCACTCTTTCTTAGTTATCTGCTCAGACCTGTCCTAGAGTTAGTTATTGGAGCCTATCTCAATCTCTGATTAGAATTTCCTTGTTTTACAGCAGCAAGCTGTCTCCCTAATACCACCAGGGTAGAAAGATGCATTCCAGTGGCTGGAGGTGGATTGTAGGATTAGGTGATACAGATCCTTAACTCCAGGTGGAAAATAACTCTTAAGACGAGGGTTCAGTCCTTTGCTACACTTGGGTCCAATAGCTTCTGTGCTGGGCTGAAAAATGCCTCCTGCCCTTGCAAAAAAAGATACCCATGTCAAGTCCCTTGGCCCTGTGAATAGCACCTTCTATGGCAAAAGACTAAATACTACTTCATATATCAAAAGTTATGATTAAGCCAAGGATCTTAAGAGGAGGAGTTTATCCTGAATTATCCGGGTGGGTCCTAAATACATGTGTCCATAAATACGGAGAGGCAGAGGGTGATTTGTGACCTTGAGAGGAGGAGGCCATGGCAAGATAGAACAGAGAGATGCTGCCACAAGCCAAGGGATGCTTATAGCCACCAGCAGCTTTAGAAGAGGCAAGGGATGAACTCTCTTTTCCCTTATGGTGCACCTCAGAATCTTTCTAGTGCCCTCTCCTGTCAACATGTTTTGCATAAAAATAATTAATTCGATTTTTCCATGAACTTTTTGAGGTCCCTCATAGAGCTTCACACACAGGTTAGTACTATTGTTTCCCAGTCAGACTTGTGTTCTAGGAGAGAGAACTTTGTAATTCATTGAACTATATGTATCAGTAGCAAGGCTCAAAGGTGGAAGAACTTGTGTGTGGGTTCTATGTGTTATATCCAGGCTGAGACAAGATACTGGAGGAAGAAGAGCTTCTCTTATCTTCTTATATTTGTTTGCATGTTTTTGGTTTAATAACAGCTGGGATGAGGGAGAGAACCTCATGGGTCACATTAGTTACGCTGGTCTGGGCTAACAAGTCCATGTTCTATGTTTGTCTCAGAGTAGAGAATACAATTTATGGCCAATGAGCCAATGAAAAGAGGCTCACAGTTTGAGTGGCAGAGTGTGGCCTGGTGATGTCAGAAGGTCCTGATTTCATTTACTGGTTACTCTTACACTAAAGGAAGAAGGAGGGACCAGCAGGTGGTGTGGTGGTTAAGATGCTGGACTCCCATATGGCTGACCATGGTTTAAGTCCCAGACCTGGTGGCTTGCTTTCTCACTATCTCTTTCTCTCTCTCTGTCTATGTCTGGTCAAATTAAACAAAAATAATAACAAATGAAATTAAATACATAAATAATTATTTTTTAAAAAAGAAGGAGAGGAGAGGAGAGGAAGAAAGGAAAGGAAGGATGGAAATTAAGTGTACAAAATTGGTTCCTCAAAAACAAAAGAAAATTGGTTTTCTTTTCTTCAAAAGAGGTATAATTAAAAGTAGCCATCCATTTTCTCAAGTGTTCAAACCAGAAAACAAAAGGGCAAGTTATCCCACTCTCCTTTTATCCACTCATCCCTCGTTGTTATTCTCGATCTTCGATGGCTCTGTTCTGATGCCATCTTCATACTCATGGAAACAAACACGTAGATGCTTGCCTGGAGATGACCCTGTCTTTCCAGTTTACTCGTGGTTGACCAGTTGTGCTAACCATGCTATTTGGAGACATTTGTTGCCATCCTTTGGTTTTTATCAGAGTTCACCAAACTACATTGGCCACCTGTTTGATTTTCATTTTTAAACAAAAACTTTATTGAGATATAATTTACATACTACACAATTCACTTATTTAAAGTGTCCAAGTCAGGGACCAACAGATGGCATAATGGTTAAGTAGCTTGGACTCCCACACAGTTGACTGCAGCGTGTCTCCTTCCACCCACCAGGGTGATTTCTTGCTTTCTGTCTCTGTCTCTGGCAAGAACACATACCCTACAGCAAAAATCTTTCTTAAAAATAAATAAATAAGGGACCAGTAGTTAGCGTAATGGCTATGTCGCTGGACTCCCAGGTAGTTGACCGTGGTTTGCGTCCTGGACCCAGTGGCTTAAAACTCAAGCCGGGCGCGTGTGCATGCATGCCCAAGATCCCAAGAGGAGAATGGAAGAGAAGGGATTGTGGCGTGGCCATCCCCCTGGGGGGTGATTTCGCTCTTTCTGTCTCTCTCTGTCTGTCTGGCGAGTGCATGTGCCCTATAGCAAAAACCTCTCAAAAAAATGAATAAATAAGTAAAGTGTACAAAGTCCGTTTTCAGTGTATATATAAATTGGGCAACCATTAGCACAGTCAATTTTAGAATACCACTCTCACCTTCTATATGGATCTATTAGCAGTCTCTCCTGTTCCCCATACTCACCATCCCCAGCCCTAGGCAGTCACTGATCTACTTTCTGGGTCTCTAGATTTGTCTATTCTGTGCATTCTATATCAGAGGAATCATACAACATGGGATATACTATGACTGGTGTCTTGGACTTAGCACAGTATTTTCAAGGGTCATTTATGTTGTAGCATACGTTAGTACTCTGCTCTTTTTATTAACAAATATTCTATTGTATGAATATACCATGTTTTATTTATCTGACAATTTGTCGATACTTAGGATATTTCTACCTTTGGCTGTTATAATGTTGCTGGGGTGGGGTAAATACATGTGTCCATAAATACGGAGAGGCAGAGGGTGATTTGTGACCTTGAGAGGAGGAGGCCATGGCAAGATAGAACAGAGAGATGCTGCCACAAGCCAAGGGATGCTTATAGCCACCAGCAGCTTTAGAAGAGGCAAGGGATGAACTCTCTTTTCCCTTATGGTGCACCTCAGAATCTTTCTAGTGCCCTCTCCTGTCAACATGTTTTGCATAAAAATAATTAATTCGATTTTTCCATGAACTTTTTGAGGTCCCTCATAGAGCTTCACACACAGGTTAGTACTATTGTTTCCCAGTCAGACTTGTGTTCTAGGAGAGAGAACTTTGTAATTCATTGAACTATATGTATCAGTAGCAAGGCTCAAAGGTGGAAGAACTTGTGTGTGGGTTCTATGTGTTATATCCAGGCTGAGACAAGATACTGGAGGAAGAAGAGCTTCTCTTATCTTCTTATATTTGTTTGCATGTTTTTGGTTTAATAACAGCTGGGATGAGGGAGAGAACCTCATGGGTCACATTAGTTACGCTGGTCTGGGCTAACAAGTCCATGTTCTATGTTTGTCTCAGAGTAGAGAATACAATTTATGGCCAATGAGCCAATGAAAAGAGGCTCACAGTTTGAGTGGCAGAGTGTGGCCTGGTGATGTCAGAAGGTCCTGATTTCATTTACTGGTTACTCTTACACTAAAGGAAGAAGGAGGGACCAGCAGGTGGTGTGGTGGTTAAGATGCTGGACTCCCATATGGCTGACCATGGTTTGAGTCCCAGACCTGGTGGCTTGCTTTCTCACTATCTCTTTCTCTCTCTCTGTCTCTGTCTGGTCAAATTAAACAAAAATAATAACAAATGAAATTAAATACATAAATAATTATTTTTTAAAAAAGAAGGAGAGGAGAGGAGAGGAAGAAAGGAAAGGAAGGATGGAAATTAAGTGTACAAAATTGGTTCCTCAAAAACAAAAGAAAATTGGTTTTCTTTTCTTCAAAAGAGGTATAATTAAAAGTAGCCATCCATTTTCTCAAGTGTTCAAACCAGAAAACAAAAGGGCAAGTTATCCCACTCTCCTTTTATCCACTCATCCCTCGTTGTTATTCTCGATCTTCGATGGCTCTGTTCTGATGCCATCTTCATACTCATGGAAACAAACACGTAGATGCTTGCCTGGAGATGACCCTGTCTTTCCAGTTTACTCGTGGTTGACCAGTTGTGCTAACCATGCTATTTGGAGACATTTGTTGCCATCCTTTGGTTTTTATCAGAGTTCACCAAACTACATTGGCCACCTGTTTGATTTTCATTTTTAAACAAAAACTTTATTGAGATATAATTTACATACTACACAATTCACTTATTTAAAGTGTCCAAGTCAGGGACCAACAGATGGCATAATGGTTAAGTAGCTTGGACTCCCACACAGTTGACTGCAGCGTGTCTCCTTCCACCCACCAGGGTGATTTCTTGCTTTCTGTCTCTGTCTCTGGCAAGAACACATACCCTACAGCAAAAATCTTTCTTAAAAATAAATAAATAAGGGACCAGTAGTTAGCGTAATGGCTATGTCGCTGGACTCCCAGGTAGTTGACCGTGGTTTGCGTCCTGGACCCAGTGGCTTAAAACTCAAGCCGGGCGCGTGTGCATGCATGCCCAAGATCCCAAGAGGAGAATGGAAGAGAAGGGATTGTGGCGTGGCCATCCCCCTGGGGGGTGATTTCGCTCTTTCTGTCTCTCTCTGTCTGTCTGGCGAGTGCATGTGCCCTATAGCAAAAACCTCTCAAAAAAATGAATAAATAAGTAAAGTGTACAAAGTCCGTTTTCAGTGTATATATAAATTGGGCAACCATTAGCACAGTCAATTTTAGAATACCACTCTCACCTTCTATATGGATCTATTAGCAGTCTCTCCTGTTCCCCATACTCACCATCCCCAGCCCTAGGCAGTCACTGATCTACTTTCTGGGTCTCTAGATTTGTCTATTCTGTGCATTCTATATCAGAGGAATCATACAACATGGGATATACTATGACTGGTGTCTTGGACTTAGCACAGTATTTTCAAGGGTCATTTATGTTGTAGCATACGTTAGTACTCTGCTCTTTTTATTAACAAATATTCTATTGTATGAATATACCATGTTTTATTTATCTGACAATTTGTCGATACTTAGGATATTTCTACCTTTGGCTGTTATAATGTTGCTGGGGTGGGGGCAGCAGGTGGCATGGTGTTTAAGGCACTGGACTCCCACATGGCCAACTGCAGTTCGAGTCCCAGATCTGGCAGCTTGCTTTCTCACTTTCCCTCTTGCTCACTCTCTTTTTCTTTCACTTTATCCCTCTCTGGTCAAATTTAACTAACTAAATAAATAAATAAAAGTTTAATAAAGTAATTATTTAAAAATAAAGGTTGCTGTGAACATTCATGTACAAGTTTTTGTATGGACATAAATGCCCATTTCTCTTAGGTATATATGTAGAAGCGAAGTTCCTTGGTCGTTGAGTAACTATTCAGCAATTGAGCAACTGCTAGAGTATTTCACAGAGCGACTACACCACTTTGCATTTCTGCCAGCATTGTGATTTCTCTACATCCTCACATACACTGGTTTTTTGATCCTAGCCAACCTCATGGGTGTGAAGTAGTATCTTATGGTGGCTTGATTTGCATTTTCCTGATGGCTAATACTGTTGAGCATTTCTCATGGACTCATTGGCCATGCCCACCTTTTCAGTAGGTAAGTTTATTGGAACATAACCACGTTTATTTATTTATTTTGGAGAGGTTTTTGTTATAGGGCGCATGCGCTCGCCAGACAGACAGACAGAGATAGAGAGACAGAAAGCGAGAAATCACCCCCCAGGGGGGGATGGTTGCGCCGCAACCCCTTCTCCTTCATTCACCTCTTGGGATCTTGGGCACGCATGCACACGCGCTCGGCATGAGTTTTAAGCCACGGGGTCCGGGATGTGAACCGCGGTCGACTACGTGGGAGTCCAGCAACATAGCCATTACGCTAACTGCTGGTTCCCACCACGTTTATTTATTGACTTTGGGTGCTTTTCTACTACAATGGCAGAGTTGAACAGCTGTTTACCACTGGTCCTTTGAGAAAACATCTGTTGGGCCTTGATTCAGATGAAAGAAGAGCAGTTTCTGCCTTTGGGTCAGAAAAGGCCAGGCATTTGAACCAGGCAAGGAAGGAACACCTGACAGGACCATCCTTTCAGTCCAGCTAGTAGAGATTAGCATAGAGCAACTGGAGGGCCACACAGAGCTAGTGGGTTATAACGCATGAGCCTAATTGTCACAGTGTAGGCTAGTATGGAGCTGGCTGGTTAATCAAGCCAGGGGTTCATGGAGAAATCTTCGAGTAAGCAAAGGGTGCTGGGATCAATAGGAAGCAGAGAGTCCTTCATTTGGAAGGGTTGAGTTCTCAGGATGGCATGTCTTATGCCTGGAAGACAGCTCTGTGGCTCCTCCTGTAAAAACCCTGCTGCTCCAGGGTGGAGTAAGGGCAACCATTCTCTCCCATCCCCATAGGCTTCTCTCCACCTGCATCATTCACAAGTGGGCAGAGTGGGCTCCTCCTAAGGTGCTGTGCTTCGTGCGTTTGCCTGTCTTCGCAGTGAATTTCTGCACGCTTTCTCCTCTTACTCTTTTCCCTCACATCCTTGTGTGTGTGTCTGGTTTTATGCCCCTTTTACCCCCTGTGTGTGTAGAGGTGCTTTTCTGCAATGCCTGAACACTCAAGTTCAAGAGAGAAGTCCATGACCCTCAAATATCCCCAACTCAACCACCTTCTCTGGCGTCTTCCTTCGCACCCCTCCACCAATGATCACAGGAAAAACACTCAGCTTTCTTACTCAATCTTTAGGGAGGCCTTGGGTTTGCTTTCAATCCAGGTGAAGCGTTTCAACAAGGGCGATGCCAGCAGAGAGCTGCTGTCCATCCGGTAATCCTGGTGGGGAAGGAGGAGAAAGGTTACATCATTGCATGGCCCAGAGGGTCGACGCCAAGTCTGGGGATGATATTGAGATGTCCCTCTGAGGGCACTCCTAGCTCTGCCCTCCCCCTCTACAGTCCCCATCTCCTGGGCCAGCATTTTCTCCAAATTGGCAACTACAAACTTGGTCGAGAAATGCTTATTTCCAGGGACTATGAGGTCCTTATGCCTGCAGGTGAAGTAAACAAACTAACAAAAGTAAAAATTGCAGGTAATTAAGTAAGGATTTTCTATAATCAACTTTTATGTGAATTACTGCATAAGTATATTAAAATTAATTCTGGCAGGTTAAAACTGGCAATGGGTATCCTATTACTTGCTAGTGATGATGTATAAAAGTTCTGAGAACTTACAAAGCCATGGTCCATTGTTTTGGACTTTGCAAGCCTTCCTTGGTCATAATTCCTAGCTATTCTATTTCCCCATTCGTTCATCTTGAGCACTGAGTTTGGTGCGGTCTCTGCCTTACTGTGTTAATATAGCATGTTCCAGCATAACCCAGTAAGTAGATTCCACACTTCGTTCCTGCCACCCTTTGAGGTTCTCACATGGCTGTGTTCATAGCTGTAATGATCAGTAACCATCTAATCAAAGAAAGACACTGTCATAATTCACCCCTGCTTCAGAGTGAGGAGGGTAAAGGTCAAGAGAATCTTCTGTGCTTTGCTCCGTGGTTCCCTGAATTGTGAAACGAATGTACCACACAGCAAAACACATTTTCAGCCACTTTGCCTTTGTGTTCTGTAGCTTATTTGCAATGCTTTACATTTTTAAATTATATCTTGTTTATCTGATACCGAAAAGGTTTCGGAGTCTTTCATAGTGACTGCTTGTTCAAGGCCACCCCAATTGTGGTGCTCACCTTCCTATGTCATCAGGTTGTATCTTTATGAGATACAACCTTCACCAACGCTTCTCAAACTTGAATTTGCACAAGAATCCTCGGGATCTGAGGCAGAGTCTAACTGGGAGAAAGTGGGTCCTGACAGTGGGCATTTCTGGCCAGCCCCTAGGTTGTGGCTTCTCTGGAGCTCACGCTTTGAGTCTAAGGTCTGTAGTCCTGCCCAGTCCTCCCTAACCTTCATCTCTTTAAAACGGCTGGTGCAGGTCTCTTGTATATCTGACTGTACTTGCTTCCCCCAGTGTGGCTGGATAGGAACCCGGCAGTTCAGCCTGCAGAACCTCAGGAGGAAGGGTCACAGACTGAGTTCTTCCAGATTCAATGCTACTCTTAAAAGAATGCTCTCTGTTACATCACAGGGCCCAGCCACAGCTAAGAGTTGTTCTATTACTCTGAAAGCAAGGATGCATCGCTGACAGCCAGGCAGCTTATAAGCACATAATGACACTTCCTAAAGCACTATATTCCTACCAGGTGAGGACTTGGACCCCAGAATGAATTCTGCATCCTTTTCAAACCAAAGAATATTTTCAGATTAGCTTTGCATAGCTACGTCTGCCTGTCAGCCCCCCTGCCGTTGTCATTTTAGCCACCATCGGTGGAGCTGGTGCTTGGATGGAGGCTGTGAATGGTCTGCCAGGTGCACTGAGTAGCTTCACCTCATGACTTACATCCAGCACAGAGGTGGCATTTGGTGAAAGTTCTTCAAATGTTTTGATTCTTTCCAGGCTCATGAATTTGAAAGCGTTTACATATCTAATAAAGAAGCAGAAAGAATAGTCAAGACAGGAAAATGCATCCAGCTTTGCTTAGTCAGGAGACTGTGGGCCCTGTATCCCAGCTACATTGAACAACATGGAGGAGGAATTGCCTAACTCCTGAAGCTTGAATTTCCCTGCTGTGAACCTCTGGGAATCCTCATGGTACATGGCTATCAATTTACATTCCATAGTTTCAGGCAGAACCCTGGAAGAACCCATTCTAGTTCCCTGTGGAATTAGAAAATAGTGGGCCTAGGGACCAGCAGTTGGCATAATGGCTACATCACTGTACTCCCATGTAGTTGACTGCAGTTCAAGTCCCGAACCCGGTGGCTTAAACTCACGTGGGGCACGTGTGCATGTGTGCCCAAGCTCCCGAAAGGAGAAAGGAGGAGAAGGGACTGCGGCATAGCCATCCCCCTGGGGGGTGATTTCTCACTTTCTGCCTCTCTCTGTCTCTGTCTTTCTGGTGAGCACACGCGCCCTATAGCAAAAACCTCTCCAAAAAGAAAAAAGAAAAAGAAAAAACGTTGGGCCTAAAGGAGACATGAGGCATCCTCTCTGAATGCCCTCTGGTACAAAGGACAGAAACGATGCCCAGGGGACTAAGAAGGAATTCTATTTATCATTTATGGCTGCCTGCTTCCTAAAAGGATGTGAAGTAACAAAATGTCAAGGTTGTATAGCTGATTTAACGACCTAGTTAGGTGCCAAGGCCGGTCTTGTATTAATATATTCTAGACTGTGACTATGGACTGGGAGAGATGGGTAGTACTGGGGGCCAGCCCTGTTGTGCAGGAGTTACATGCCGTGCAGGAGGAGATGGATTCCGTGTGGCCAACCGTAGTTCGAATCTTGGCCCTGATAGCTTGAAAAACATACCAGGCATAGGTCAATGCATGTCCAAAATGCTGACAGGATGGAGAAATGGAGAAGAAAAGACTGCGGCATGGCCACACCCCATTGTGGGGTGCTGTCTCTCTCTCTCTTTCTCTCCTTCCCACCCCAGCCTTTGGTGAGTCTGTGTGCCACCTGGCAATTAAAATAAAAAGAAATGTATAACAAAAGATTTCTCTGTGACTACCTGCTGACTTGTGTGGATGATCTATTAGGAAAGACAATCAGTGATACCTGCTGTGTGGCTACTACCCCCGGGCAAGTTCAGCTACTGATTGCACTTTTCAGTCTGATAGTCGGTCACCCTCTGCAGGGCCACCGTGCAGGCAGGCCTCTATTGGGCCTAAGGCTAATATTAGAAGAGTCTAAATAACTCTTGACACTGTAACCCCACTGCCTCCCCATTACTAACCCTACCAAACTATGCTAATTTATTTGATCCACGCTAGCTTTCTTATCTTTAAAAAAGGATGATTTATCTGCATCAGCTCCTTGGTCTGGGCGTGAGTCATGAGCAGTGATTCTGACCAGTCATCTGTTACGACTCTCTGGTTCCTCCTGGATTTTTCTGAAGCCCATCATAGACACAGTCAGGTTTTTCCAACTGTGGTAGGTCTTCCTCCTGCCTTCCCTGGTGGCTGAACTTGAGGGTTATACCTACTGCAGGAGAAGATGCTAGAAAGCCTCAGGACAGTCTAAGTGTGCTAAAAGGAGTCCTAACTGCATAGGGCATGGGGGGGGGTGTGGGGGGAAGGATCAGAACTCTTGGGTTAGAAACCATTCTGCTGCTTTTCAGCCATCAATAAATATCTGTCTCCTTGTCCCTGTTCCAGTTTCCTTTGCAGTCATGCAAAATATGTTACTTTGTTAGGTAAGGGGAAAAAATCCAGTTTTGCTTAGTTTTATCTAAGGTCTCATAAAAAAGCCAATGCAAGGGGACCAGCAGATGGCATAATGGTTATGTCACTGGACTTCCACATAGTTGACTGTGGTTTGAGTCCTAGATCCTGCAGCTTGAAACTCACGCTGGATACATGTGCATGTGTGCCCAAAATCCTAAAAGGAAAATGGAGAAGGGATTGTGGCATAGCCATCCCCCTGAAGGGATGATTCCTCTCTTTCCATCTCTGGCTCTCTCTGTCTCGCCTGCGAGCATTTACATGCACCCTATAGCAGAAATCTCTCTCAAGAAAAAAAAATAAATAAAGCCAATGTGATGGGAGAAGAAATGGGAAGAAAGGGTTGTTCTAGAATAAGACTGATGAAGGAAACATGTTATTCTTAATTGGATCCCACTTTTTTAAAAAGAAAGTGTAGCAGATATTTGGGAGAAATTGTGGAAATTCGATTAGCTGATATTAAGGAATTCCTGTGGTGTGATAATCCTGGTGTGCAGGACCAGCAGATGGCATAGTGGTTACATCGCTGGACTCTCGCATGGCCAACTGTATTCAAGTCCCAGACCCAGTGGTTTGAAAATCACACCCAGCATGTGTCATGCATACCCAAGAACCTGGGAGGAAAATGGAGGAGAGAGATTGTGGCAGGGCCATCCCCTCTGGGGGGGTGGGGGGTGATTTCTCACTTTCCCTTTCACTGTCTCTGTCTCTCCACCACCCACCCCAAACCCTCCCTGCAAGCACATGCACCCTAAGGCAAAAATAAAAACAAAAAACTAAAAATCTTGGTGTGGTTATCTAGGAGAATGTCTGGGTAATATGTATACCAAAGTATGCAGGAGCAAGTGTTATAATGCCTTGAGTCCTCTTTAAGATGGGTCAGCAAAAAGAAACAGAGTATATAAACAAAATAGGGCAAAATGTCAGCAGTAGCTGAATTTAAAATGTGGGCATATGGGTGATTATAAAATTCTTCCTTTGCTTATTTTTCTTCCTTATTTTACATTAAAAAATATTTGAGGAGGGGCCCAGCAGATGGTGTATTGTTGGACTGTGGCTCAGGTCGTGAACTGGATGGTTTGAAAATCACACCGGGTATGTGTGCATGCATACCCAAGATCCAGGAGGAGAATGGAGGAGAAAGGACTGCAGTGTGGCCATGCCTACAGGGGATGATTTCTAACTTTCCCTCTCACTGTCTGTGTGTTTCTCTCCAGAGAGCACACATGCCCTATGACAAGAAAAACCTCTAAAACAAAACAAAACAAAATTGGGGGAGAGAGTTAATTTTGCAACTTTGTGACTGGAGTTGGGGGAGGAAATCTTACCTGACATCATCAGAGCTTCCTGAATTAAACGTTGGAGCTGAAATGCCTTCCTTGAAGAAGTCCTCAGAAAAGGTAGGAGTTGAGTATGTAAACCCGCTGTTCCCGGTCAGTATGGCGTTTAGTGGGATGTAGTCTTTGCCATCCTACAATTGCAAAGACAGAGGTCTACTAGCGCAAACTTCTACCTGGACCAGTTTCTGTGAAGCACTGTGTCAGCTTCAACTCTGTCACTTGCACAATCTCAGTTGTGTTTTGAAAGGAAAGATTCTACACACACACATGCACACACACTTTTTTATTGCTTATCTCAACTATTGTAATAGCTCTTAAATGAATTTACATTCAAAGGCATTTATTTGGTCTTCTGATATTCTTGATAAATTTAGCTTTACCTGTTGAACATTCGCTTGAAGCAAATCGCCTAGCTTTTCCACAAGTTCTGCAAACCTTGGTCTTTCTTTTGGGTCTTTGTGCCAGCAGTCCAACATGATCTGATAGCTATTGGGTGAAAACACAACAGAAACAGAGCAGCGATGATTATATAGATCACTCTGTGCCACCAGGTGTCATTATACGTGCAAGAGCATTGCTTTCTGTAGTATGTGACATCATTTCTAAACTGGGGTCTGTAGTACCAACTCATAAAAGGTGCGGCTGGCAGCAGGAAATGGATGTTCACCAAGGCGGACTAACCCACCAACCCTCCAGAGCAGGGCATGTCCTTAAAAGTTAAAAATGTTCATACAGCCCAGCCTAGCTGGTGCAGTCCATAGCATACTGGACTGAAGTGCTGGAAGCCACATGTCCAACGAGGTATGGATCCCAGACTGACCTGGAACACACTGGGCATGCTCGTGGGTGCTCACGATACTGAGGGGAAAGGAGCTCATGAACGATGAGACCCTGTCTGGGGTGTCTTTCTTTTTCTTTCTTTTGGGTATATACACACATTCTCTATCATGAATAAAATAAACTTGAAAGAAAAGTTAATAGAGCCACAAACTGAATGGACAAATAGTCTGTGGTATTTAATTATCTTAGGTTGCAACAAAGGTTGACTTGAACCATTTCCTAAAAGGCTTGTGTGGGCCAGCCGGTGGAGTAGTGGTTAAGGTGGCTGGATCCCACATAGCCAACAGAGTGGTTCAAGTCCCAGATCTGGTGGTTTTAAAAAAATACCAGGTGCTGGGATCAGCCATTAGCATAATGGTTATGTCGCTGAACTCCCATGGAGTCCACCGCAGTTCAAGTCCCGGACCCGGTGCTTAAACTTACGCAAGGTGTATGTGCGTGCATGCCCAAGATCCCAAGAGGAGAATGGAGGAGAAGGGATTGTGGCATGGTCATCCCCCCTGGGGACTGATTTCTCACTTTCTGTCTCTCTGTCTCTCTCTGTCTTTCTGGCGAGCTCACGTGCCCTATAGCAAAAAC